AAAAAAAAAAAAAGCAGCGGATGCCTGTTTTCTGACTGGTCGGTGGACCGCCGACCGGTCAGCCCCGATCGGTCGGGACAAAACGGTCGGCGGTCGGGGTCGGCGGTCGGCGCCGGTGCAACCCTGGTCTAGATGCATATTCACGCTGAAGATTCTGAAAACTTTGAAGTGGTGAAGATCCTGAAAATCTGAACCCCCTCCCCCCTATTTGGTTTTGTTCAGGGGAAAGGGGTGTTCTATGTAAATGCTGAATATTAGTGGACCTTGTAAACCCTTCTCACGTCTTCCGAACTCGTACCTCTTGACATCAGTGATGAAGGCACCTCATCTACCCCCTAATTTTGTTGGTGGTACATTGGTGCTGAATTGTGGTACCCTAGAGGCAAGGAGACCAGCAAGAGTCAATTTCAAGTAGCAGACATCCGGATTCATGGGCGCTAAGTTCGCGGCAGATTGAACGGCATGAGCAGGGATTGATTGGCCAGAAGAACATGCAGTTCCTGTCCATTCGTTCTGCTGACAGTGGTGCAACCACTAGTGAGTCCTTGCAGCAAGGGTCTGGCCAGCCAAGTGATGTTTGGTGGAGCGCAAGAGACAATACCACACGGTGAGTACTACCCAGTATGTGTGAGTGGGGGCATGTTGGGCAAGGATGAGCGTTTGTGCATGTGTGCTTGCATGTGTCCTCAACGACTCCTCATCTACATCTACAATGCTATAGAAGTCTCTAATCCTCGTAAGGAGGCTATCTGGGGTGTGACAGTGTGTGCCCTTTGTGGGGGTGAATGGCTTTGATTCGGGGCTGACCTCGAAAAATTAAGATTGGCTGCAAGTCTAGGCTGTGGTATGCATGGATGACCCTGATCGCTTGCTGATCTTAACATTTGGGTGATAGGCTGCAAATGTGGGCTGCCCTGCGGCACATGGTTGATCTTAATTTCTGTGATCGGCTGCAAAACTGGCATGTCGACTTTTTCTGATTGTCAGATTTTCGTGATCGATAGCCAATCTGGGGGGGTGCTTGTGGCCAATGGGCCACTCGACCTGGGAGGCCCAGCCATTCCAAAGCCGCTAACACCGTCCCCGGATTTCCCCAACTCTTCCGCTTGCCAACTCGCCGCCCTCAACATTGCCTTGTCGTTGCCGAACTATCCCTCACCACCATGTGCCTACCTCTGCCCCACTAACAGCCGCTGAGCGCCTGCTTCCAACCCACTGCACATGCACACTATTCTGCCTGAGAGAGAGAGAAGGGGGGGGGGGGGGGGGGGGGGGAGGGAACCGAATGGGAACCGCACATGTTATTTTGTTGAAGGGTTTCACAAGTGTGTGTGTACGTGCAAGCGGGAGGAGTGGTGAGAGAGAGAGAGTTGGACTTCAGGGTTCTCTGCCGTTTGACGATTTATTTTCCAATTCTTCGCAGTTTCTTTGGTTTCAGTCTCGTCTGCATTCACGCACACACACAGATATATATATAGTTCTATTTGACGATATATGACGATATATGACGATATATATATATATGGAGTGTATTTTTTGGCTGTGACAGWCCTTTCTTTGTTTCGTGGATGTTTTGCTGGCTTGTGATGGGGTGTGAACCGACAGTCTGTAGAGTTTTCCATCTGGTGTGGGTGAGTGATAGTCTACTTTGATTTTGGTTAAGGTAGATTA